AGGCGTGATCATCCAGGACTGAGCACGGCAGATGGACCGCTGGGTGCAGCACTACTCTGAGCTATATTCCAGAGAGAATGTAGTAGCCAAGGAGGCACTAAATAACATTGAGTGCCTGCCTGTCTTGGAAGAGATGGACAGCAAACCCACTTTAGCAGAAATAAAAGCAGCCTTGGACTCCCTCACCTCCGGCAAGGCACCTGGAAAGGTTAACATCTCTGTTGAAGTGCTGTAAAGAGATCATCACCACCGAACTGCATGAAGTATTTTGTCTTTGCTGGAGGGAAGATGGAGTACCACTCACAAGAGTGAGTGAAAGCAGATGCTGCAGAACTACACCAAAAGGACTTCATGGCAGAGATTATGTGGAACTGCTCAGCAAACAGTTCTCTTCCAATGACTTCCTTGCCTCCTTCAATTCTTTGGTCATTCCCCTGCCCCCTCTTTAAAATGAATCATTTGAATGCAGCCAGGAGAGTTATTTTTAAAAAGGATGAGCCTCTGTTTGAGAAGGGAAGCATAACAAAGTGGCACAGAATAAATCAAAGTATTAGATAGCAAAATGGAGATGTGGGAATTCATCCAAACACACACATACACACACACACCACATTTGTATGTACTGCAATAATGGAAATGCTGCTAAGGTCTGTACCTGCCAGAAATAGGAGGAGCAGAAATGCTCCATAGTCCAGGTCATTTGCATTGCTGTTTTCTGTTTTTTGTTGTTGTTTAGTTGTGTCTGACTCTTCGTGACCCCTTGGACCAGAACATGCCAGGCCCTCCTGTCTTTCACTGCCTCCCGGAGTTTGGTCAAAATTATTCTGTTTACCACGGGATATCTGCAGTGAGGAACCACCATAAGGCAACTCCTCCATGGCGTTTTATCCTCCTATTGTCCCAACTTTTCAGAGCCTTATTTGAATTATAGTGGTCTACAGGAGCTATGTTCGGTTTTTTTGCAGTAAACAATCTTGCGTCATCTAAAGAAACTATTGACTATCACTTTTGACAGACATAAACATTATTTTAAATTTATTTTAAGTGATAGGACGTAATTGTTGGCTGTGTTAATATAGTTGAAGAAGTAAACCAACTTAATTTCTTTTAAAAAATAAAATAAATTACTACTATGATTTTTTTACACAAATGATGATTTGTTTCTTTTGAACTTTCTTCCCAGAAACACTCATGAATTAGGTACATTTGCTAGTTTCTGTCTGAGGCATTTGCATTACATGCAGTTGCAATGGAAGAGGAGGAGTGACCTTATAGATTAATCTTCTCTTTGCCCCTCCACTGCCTAAGCTTTGTGAGAGACTTTCTGGAAAGGGAGCCTTCTAGATGTATAGGCAGACTCACTACCCAACCTATGGGTCTACATTGCATGAATGTATTAAGGGTCCCTGGTTCTTACCTTTCCCTATAACATGTGGATGTGACACAGCAGGGGAAGTATACAGGGCCCCCTCTGTCCATCTTAAGGTTGTAATTTTGTAAGGGGTGAAGGCCAGAAAATGATTACTAGATCAAGTGCTGGAGAAGGTTGGTCTAGAAACTGTAGCCTATTAGAAGATGAGAAATTTGGACTGTGGGAAGCACTTGATTTGTCTTTCTATCTGATTCCTTGATTGATTAGTGAATTACATCAGTTAAAGATAAAATATTTACAATTGTGTCTGTGTCCATAGTGTTTTTTGAAAGCATTTTTACTCTCTAAATTTCCCAACCTCTGAGAGGGTCCCTAGTTCAATTCCTGGAACCTGCAGATAAGGCTGGGAAAATCCCTTGCTTGAAGAATAATTCTCAGTCCATACTAACAAGACAGGTCAAGATGGATCAATGCTTGACTCAGTTTCCTGTGTTTATGTATTGTGGTCTGAGTTCATTTGGTGGAATCTCTGTGGTTTTATGTGCTAAAAAGCGTGTGCAGAGAGGTAACCTGCGTCTAAATTAGGAGGAAGGTGTGGAACTGCAGTGCTTTGGCTGCTCATAACTAGAAATGGTCCATTTCATTTAAAAGTGACAGTATCAAAAAGAGGTAAATATCAGCCCTCACAAATGCTCCCTGCATTCTACAAGAATGCTTATTTTGACTAGTGAACTTATCCGAAACATGAGTTACCATTAAAAAATAATAACTGTGCCCGATCAAGCCAATTCTGATTTATGATTACTGTTGTCAAGGTTTTCTAGATAGAGAGAACTCAGAAATGGTTTACCATTTCTTTCTTCTGGGGTCAGCCTGGCACTGTGTAGCTTGCCCAAGGCCGCACAGGCTGGCACTTCCCTCTGGAGAGACTTTGGGGAATTGAATACACAGCCTCTGGCTCTGCAGCCAGATACCTAACTCACTGGGCTATCTAAGCAGCATAGTCACCATTTTAGGAGTCTTTATAAAAGTAATTATTTTTTTTCTATTCACATTGTTAAATGAGAAAATATATTCAAAATTAGCTTAATATAATTGTGAAACGGTCTGCTTCCCTCTCACTGTTGACCATTTCCGCCATCTTGTTGCAGTCGCCTAAAGAGCAACGTTGACGGGAAGTTCCTGGTGGATGGCGTCCCCTTCAGCTGTTGCAATCCCAGCTCACCCAGACCCTGTATCCAGTACCAACTCACAAACAATTCTGCTCACTACAACTATGACTTCCTGACAGAAGAGCTTAATATCTGGATGAAAGGATGCAGGGAGGTCCTCCTGGATTATTACACTGATATCATGAGATCCATTGGCATCACCGTACTCATCATCTGGTTGTTTGAGGTAAACTGCAGTAAAAAAAAATTTTTTTCCTCTACAGAGGTTCTTCATCTGTCAGAAGAGAGCCGTGGTTTTTCCCATTGGCCAGAATCTTCCCAGATGTGCAACTGATATCTTTGCTGAATAAATCTAGCCTCCTCCAAATGAATTCATACTTTAAACATGAAAATGCACACCAAGTTTTTATTACCAGTGACAGAATGAAAGGTGCAATGAAGGGTGAAATATAGTTTGTCAATATTCCATTCCAGCATATATTAAAATAAATTAGAGCCTGTATGCCAAACATGGGCATCTCTCTGGTATACCAGAAAGTTGTAGCATTGGCCAATTATTCTTCCTGTGGGACTGCACGAATGTAGCAACTGACAAGCCTGCTTCGCTAGAATTACTGCCTGAGCAGCCAAATTCAGTGAGATACTGTGGTTAAATTTGGGTATTTGCATATTGCAGAGGGATAGGGGCCACTATGCAGAGGCCATGTGTCATCTCTTTCTTCCAATTTCTGATGGTTCGTCATGGTTCTCTTCAAAAGGAAGATGTGTGATTTTGACCATCTTTGAGTTATAAATTATCCTTGCCTTCTCCATTAAAGTGAAAGCGAAGTTGACTGCAGTTTCCTTCCAAACGCTCTTCTTTTCAATCGTACTCCTGGCTCCCAGTTGGTCAAAGGTGGAATCTCTTGTAGTGTGCCATTTGTGTGAGTTGGGGTGTGACAAGCGATACAAGTGACAACTTATTAACAAGTGTCAGTTATCCACAGCGATTTAAGTTATTGAATTTACACTGGCAAAACTGATGAATAAAATGCTGGCCTTTATTTAAATTGAGCGGGGGTGGTCATGGCTAGATTTTTAATATGTTAAGGTTATAATTAACAAGTAATGACTAATGAATGACAAATACTTAGATATTAATTCATTTTAAAAAGTAACAACATGGTAACTTGTAAAAGCAGCTTTCCAAGTTCTGCCTTGAAGTGTGCATGATGGTTTTTGAGGAACAGCTTTTGTGCAGGTGCTTAAGGGGTGTGTGTGTGAAGAGGTTTTTGCAAGGTTTCTGACTTGCATCCTGATGACCTGAAGAAGTGAGGGAAATGAAGGCATTGGTTGCAAAGCCTTAATTGATAATAGCATTTCAAAGGAGTTTGTTCAAAATCTTTTTCCTCTAAGATGCTCTTTTGCAATAAACTACACAAGTGGAGGATGACGTGATGGAATTATGAGCACTCTCTTCCAGTGGAATGAGAGCATGCTGTCTTTTTGAATAGCCACCTGCATCAATTATTCCAGATACTTTGGAAGAAGAAAAATGGAACAGATTGTTCTTTGAAAAAAAGGAGATATCACATATTAATAGCATGCCACTCCTTGTTTCATCATCTTCTTTAATGTAGGACAAATGACTAATTAAAGCTGCTTAAGCCTGATGGTGCTGCCAACTCATAATGGTAACCTTTTGAGTCTAGGGCATCCAAAAATACCTGCCGATTTAACCCTCTTGTTGTGAAATTGTATCAACCTAGGGACAGTTCTAAGAAAAGAGTACATGTTTATTGCAAACAGCTTGGACACTGTTTTAGTTACACAAATTATCTTTTTGTTCTTCTGCACGACAGCTGAGCCTGAAAGATAAGAGTTCTGAAATCATCAATACCTTCCTGTGAGCAACTATGGTTCTACACCCGTTTGCCTGGGAATAAACCCAACTGAACTTGATGGGACTTATAAGTAGCCATGAATAGGATTGCACTTTAAATGCTTAAATAGATTCTAGTACACGTAATCAGGAATTGTCTTCAGAAAGATGGGACCTGAACAAGAACTCTGTTGTGTGGAGGCAGAATGCATAGTGTGCATGTATGCATTGCACATTACAGATAATCTGCTCATAAAAGAGGGAATTCCTGAAGTGCTGCTGATGTGCAATTTTCACAGCCGGAGCTTTTATCCTATCCTGTACCTGGCAAATTAGCTGATTTTGTTTTGTGACTGATGTTCATGACATGAAGTCATCACTGTTTACAATAAAAAAATAATTGATTTGTAGTAATCATAAACCATGTTTTGGCTCTCTCCCCTTTTTTTCTGTATTTCTTTCTCTAGGTCTCTGTGCTTACTGGGGTCCGTTACCTTCAAACGGCAATGAGGAACGTCCTTCTCCTGGGCGATCCGCAGTCTGACTCAGATGGCTGGTTACTTGAGAACAGCTTTGTAGAAACTGCCAAGTATAACTTCAATATCATAAAAAACCTTGGGAAAGCTAATCAGATATCTACAGTTTCAGGAATGAATGATCCTAATATGGATGTGCAAACGGTAAACCATGGTCCAGAGAATGTTCCAACAAAATGCATCCCTACAGCTTAAATGGATGCAGCACTGAAGACTTTTAATATGGTTCGGCACCACAATCACTACTGTGCATTTAGCTGATTTTTTTTTCACCCATGAGAATAAAATCAGTACCTCTGGCATGAAATTGGTAAACTACATTCTGATAACAGGACCTAAATACAGTATGGGGATGTTTGACACAAAATAGAACTTCAATTTGATATTCAGAATTTCTGAATCGCCAACATTAATCTTCACAGCTCTGTCCTCATCTCTGTAATGTGTGTGTTGATAGCATGACATTTACTTCACTTCTGCCATGCATGTTTTAACCATTCCTTCCTCCCCTTCCCAATATTGATGAAATGTAAATGTCAAGAGGAAGAAAGAACTGATAAAAGAAATGCTGTAGGCATCAGGGCGCTTCAGGTATTATATGGCTATGAAACATTAATCACTCAGCCTAGTTGTGGGTCAAGCAAGTTCACCTTCTTTTTGCTGATACCATATTTGCCTAGAACAGAGTTCTGTGAAACTCACAAGTTAACAATTTGCATTCATAACACTAAAAACTTATTGTTGTATCCCCTCAACAGACTTCACGCCTCTCACTTTAATGAAAATATCTTTACCTGTTTAATTGTCGTAAGGCCTGAATGTTATTCAGGCAATATTTTGTTGTGGTAGGTCTCCCAGAACAGGAAAATCTTTTAAGGCAATTGCAGTTTTGAATATAAAGCAAAGGCTCTCTTGTAAAAGTGCTAAATTATCAGATGAAAGCAGGTTGGCAGTAAGGCCCTGATCAACATATAGGATGGTCTTTCAAATGGAATTCACACCCTAGTAGAACTGGTTTACTCACTGCAACGTTAAGCAATTCATTGATCAAGAATGAGCTTTCGAAAGAATAAACTTCATTCTGTTGCATTTTTTTCATTGACTCTGGAAAGAAGAGATTATCAAGCCTTTTTCTAGTGTAACGCAGTGAGAGATAGTAAAAGGAAATCCTGTGAAAATAAATTAAGATACGCTGTACCTTAACACGCAGGATGTATTATACACTGCACTGAACTATGTATAACAAGCAGCCTGTAGCAACCTTTCAGAATAAATAAATAATAATAAAATAAAATTCCATGCCTTTATAGAAATGTTTCAGCATTGTTTGACTAAAGAGGGGAAGAATCATTCCCAAGTCACCATTTTGTTGTGCTTATATTGCCTTTATAGAAATGTTTCAGCATTGTTTATTTTGACTAAAGAGGGGAAGAATCACTCCCAAGTCACCATTTTGTTGTGCTTATACGTATTGCCCTAGACATGTGTAGATTAAATTTTGCAGAGGATGTGAAAGCACTGAGGTAATATAACTGAACTAGAAGCTAAAAGGTGGCAACTTCACTTTGGAGGCCTTTAAGCAGTGGGTGTATGGTCAATTTGTCAGTCTTGCTTTAGATATGAATTACAGTACCTGCATTGGCAGAATACACTCGGTGACCATTGAAAGCTATGCTTTTTTGACTCATAACTGCCCCCCTCTCCAACTCCCTAACCTGAAAAACAAACCACAGAATGACTGAAGTCAGGAGGCAATGCATCTTTGGGTCAAATCATCAGTTGAAGAGGTGAATGAGTGTTCCAAATGCACCGCCTCGACTCCTTCCATCTTTGGAATGAAAGATACCACAACAATAGTATATCTGGATATATTTTTAGGAAATTATCAGTTCAAGAGACTTCTGAAAACAGGGCAACCCTAATTTCAGTGATGGTGGTGAGCTTATGCTGGGCTTATGCTCATGCAAGAGGCCTTCCCCTCCTCTCTACACCATTGTCCCTCTGCAGAGTCCATTCTGTCCTCCCACCCGATGGGTACAGTTAGAAACAAATGAATGGCTGAAATCCTCTTCTTGTGAGTTCCCCACATGCCATACATAGGATCTAATTATATTCCAATAAACTACAATCCTTACAAGTTTTAATAAGGAGAAATGTTCTTTGTTCCGTTAAAGTAACCAATTAAAGTAACTGGTTCTTTTTATAACAATGTTATCAAAGACATCTAGAATGTACAGTACTGTATATCAGAATTCACACAATATTCACACTTAAGCTTAACTTGATTAACTCACAGTAAAACTAAACCTAAGGAAAAGATTGCTAATCTCACACTTTTTACTAGGAGTGTTTAACTGACTGGGCTTTGACCACCTGGATATTCCCCACAGCACCAACATAGAGGGTTCATAGATGCTCCAGAGCAGGAGTTGCTAAGGTCCAGAAAAAGTGTACTCTTCTGCCACCGTTGAACAGGTTTTGAACGTTTTTTTTGTGAAAGAGTTAAATATTTCTGCTACTAAATTTGAGATCAGTCTTATATAAGGTTTGCCTGAATCACTGGCTCAATGAAAGGAGGCAACTGGTTCAGTGAAAGGAGATCTAGTACATAAAAGCACTGTATCTATGTATTATAAGCCTAGATCGGCTTAGATCCTGTCAAACACAAACAGGAATCTAGTTAAAGAAACATATTCAAAAGAAGTTTCAATAGAAATGAGGCACTGTAAGAACTAAGGATTCAACATTCACACTAGGAGAATAGACCACATACAAGAGAGCTCCTTCTCTGGCACTATGAAACCTGAAGAAACAGGCTGAGCTTCTGGTGACTAATTTAAGTTAAATAGTGACTCTTCCATGGAAACCTCCAAAGTGTTCCTATCACTTTCCCAATCTTTCTTTTTTTTTAAACCACAGAAAATCCATTAAGAAAAGAGAAATAGATTAACTGCAGAAATGTCTTTCAATTGATAGCACTAGAAGCCTCTCATCTGGAAGCATCTGTTATGTCAATGGTCCAAGAATACCAAATAATGAAAACATAATCAACAAAAAAACTGTTTCTTTAGGATTAAATTATAATAAGCCATGAAAATAGAAAAGGGGCAGCCAGACAGATGCTGGGTCTATTTGCATGGAATACTGTGAACAAGCTGCATGCTGGTACATACAGCCAACTCACATCCACTTTCCATTCTTCCATTAGATGGCTAGGTAAACTAATCAGACATGGAAAGCTTATTGTATCATCCTGACCCATGATGCTGAACAGCTGGTAGTGTCAAGCTAAGGTTGTAAATCAAGGTTTGCTCTTGATTTAGGGATCCTAGTTTGTAAGTGGAATAGATTCAGATATCAGAGTAAGCATTGAATTTCTGATTGGCTTACTACCTTATTACACCAAAGGAACTAATAATATCTGTCTGTGTGCAAGAGCATGTAGCTATTGACTCAAGAAGTCAGGATTTTGATTTGCTGCTCTGTGTGAATATGTAGGATGTGGATTTTAGTTTACACTTTAAAATTTTCAAATTATGTAATTTGGAGATTACTAGTCTGCTGAATAGATCATAGGTATTTAGGCATGAGAATGTTTATACAATGGGTGGGAAGTGGGACTGAAAAAATAATAGACTATATATTAAAACCATTTAAGTTATACCAAATAAGTAGCAATTCTCTACTCTGAAGTGTATGGCAAAGGCACAAAAAATGAGGGGATGTTTTAATTATGGCAAAGTTCAATACTGTGACAAAACGTGACAACAGTCACCTGACTGAATATACTGACTGACCAGTAATCAGATCTCTCCCCACTTTTCTTATTAGATTATTTCCATAATATTGGTATGAAAGTATGGAATTCTCCTGAAATGAAAACCAACAACTCTGAGAAGTTACTTTATTTCATTTTTAAATATACATAAAGGTATTTTAAAAGGACAAGAACGTTATACAAGGCTCAAATTTACATTTTTGCAATTAAAGGATCCCAATATATGCATGTATGTAAATAAAACCCCATTAATTTTCTTTAGAATTCAAATCAGTGGCATTAGCACTGCGTGTTCACTAAATGTAGATTATATTCACAGTGAACCAAGCTGCATAGTAATTAAAGAAAAAAATTAAATGATAATTCATTTTCACCTGTGAATGAATTTCTAACTCATTTGCTGGGAAAGTCATGTAAGAATGGAAGCCAATCTTCCTTCTTTTATATCTTAATTTTCCAGAAACAGGGTAGTTTGGGTAGAAGCATCCAATCCACCTGCATACTGCATACAAGTATCTGCTGTCTACAGGATTCTTTTGGCCTAATCAAGCAGTTGGATGGTACATTATGGCAGCCTATCTCAGCAACTGAGACAGCAAAAAGAGAAACAGCTAGATTTGTAACGCATGTACATAACCAGAAGTTGAAATCCAACCCACTAATTATTAAATAAAGGGAGCAAGCTCAATTCATTCTCCTCATTTCTCCTCCCCAATGAGCCAGCTTTTGAACTGTTTAATGGCTATGTATGCTCAGCCTTTGGTGCTGGGTGACTAAACTGCTGAAGATAGCAGAATATGTTGCAACTTTCATAGGCAACTGGATTCCAAGCTAATCTTAAGAGGACAGATTATCAAACTGAAATATGTGGGTTCCACATATTTCAATTGAAGATAAATGACAATATGCTTAATCATTTAATTGAAACAAATGGAATATGTGAGAGCTCAGTGGATGATATCCAATGTTTTCAATACCTACTCTATTATTTAACTGTTCAAGGATGAAACTGGCCCTCATTTTCCTTTTCACTACTCTTTTTCTGGAACCATGGCAAAATGCTGTATTAAAAAGCCCTGCTATATCACTTATTTTTATCTAGAAGAACTGATTACTCCATTTTTGGAACCACACACAGCAGAACAACAGTACAGGTTGCCCAAAGCAACAGGTTGCCCAAAGCAACCTGTACTGTTGTGACGTACTCAGGCCTTAGAAGAGAAGTAATACTGTGGCAGGACAAATCCAAGTATGATATCCCCAGTAAAATCCAAAGTATGTCAGCATGAGCAAATGGATGTTTAATTAAACCATTAAGAAGCCCACACTGAAGGATAAGCACTGACTAATTGCTGCTTTGCATATCAGTTTCACTGGAACACGGTTTGCTAACTTGACTTCTTAATAGCTCTTTTTAATCGACATTCTAAACTTGAGTGTTAGAAGTTACAGTTCAGTTCCAGACGAATACACCAATTTTGAAAATATAGAAAAACATTCAGAAAAACAGCAAATCTGGGGCAATATTTTGAAGACTGACAGGCACTGAAGGCCATTTGCACTGCACAGGAAATTTTAAATGGGTAAATAAGTAAACATTTTAAATGGTATTATCTAAATAAAAAAAGTAATTAACATTCTAACACATCCTACCCTATAAACAGTTGATAATGTCTGCTCAGTGCACTGACACAGATAATGAAATTAAGTGTGAAATTATGTGTTCTTATTTTGTCAAGTGGAGACTGATTTAAAAATAAGAATATATCCATTTATATTCTCTTACACAAACCTATACAACATTTATCTTCCTTCTTAAAACCTGAAACATATGCAAGAGAAGCAGGGAGGCTAGAACATGCGAATTTTAAAACTTCATCAGCATGGTTTAAGTTTTAGAGAAAAAGCAGAATTACTTGGAAGGTGCTAGTTACCAAAAAGCATATTATGAGAGGTTTTCTTCTCTTATCACAAGCTCCCTCTGACATAATAGCTATAATCAACATGTAAGGAAAGGCGCTTCAAACATTGTAGAGCCATTTTTTATGGATGGCTAATGTCAAATGTCATGAACTGTTGGAAACAATGGGCAAAATTCAGTTACATGACTCTGAACTCTGTACAACTTGGATTAGGTACTGGAAACATATGGTTTACACTGATTAAAAGCTTCCTATTCCTTAGGTTTGTAGGAAGGGGCTTAATGGTTGAAAACCACTTTAGGATTGATATCGGTGGTCCCAATCCCAGCAGTGATGATCTGGCAACAATTTTTGGAAGTCACTTCCATTCCACCCTAGGCTCCCAAAGGGTAGAAGGGAGCTGGAGAGAGCCTTGGAACCGAAAACAGGAAAAAGGAAGCTTTTAATGGTGCAAATTAAACATTTGTGGTGCCCAATCCAAGTTAAGACAAGCACAAAATTATGCAACAGGATTCTGTCCAAAGTGTTGTATCCAAAGATGTTGGACAACCACACGGTTACAGAAAGGTCCACAGAAGCAAAACTCAACGTAAAAAAATAAATCTGAACATATATTTCCTTAAACTCTATCATAAATTAGTAGCTCTAATTTCTTTTAGCCTCTAGATGGTATTTAGGCACTAGAAAGCAGATGCACACTTAGATGGTTTTACTGCAGTCTATGGCCTACAGTGGTCCATAGTAAGAAAGGCATCTCTTGCTGCCGATGATGTCTGACTCCCACAGCCACAGCACAGTAGTGGATAGTCAAATGCTTGGGTTTCACTGATCCGAGAGACATCAAGTATTCAAAGGGAGAAAAGAACTACATTGTACAAGATAACTACCTGGCTATGTAAACAGCAGAACTCTGACTTTTTGACAGATCAAAGCTGACTGGATATTTTTGTGTTGGGTTAAGGAGAGTAATTCCCTTCTCCAAGTACTACCATGACATCAAAAAATCTTCCATAATGCAGCCTACCTAATGCAGTTCTCACTTGCAATGTTTTATCATAAAGACTTGCTCTTACAAAACACGTTGCATATGGCTCTGTCTAAGTGTAAATCACAGATCCAGTCAGCAGCAGTCTATGGCATAGAAGGTACAGGAGGAAAGAGATATATGACAGAGTAAGGACAGACCAACTAAGGCCAAGTCCTGGCTTTTATCCAGATGCATTAGAGCCATTTATTGGGCCACTTGCCCCAGTCTGAACTGCTGCTGATAGAGACAAAAAAATCTCTCTTTTTATATTTAGATTAAGACTTTATCTAAGCATGACAGAAAGCAGTTTTGAACATCAAAACTGGTTATACGGATTCAGGTGGAAAAACGAAAGTCAATATGATGTCAACTGATTGTACCATGTCTGCTAAATCCAGCCATTTCTGGTCCTAATTGTTCAATAATAACCTTTGGTTGTGTGTATTTCTCACAAATCTGAATGGCTAGGTTTTAATAGAGACAGTTGGACCAATCGTTTTCCCATAAAGAGAGAATATTATTAATTCTTGTATGACTTTCTAAGAGATTTAATCATGGCTCTATGATGATTAAAGCAGGTGCCAACTGAATCCAAAAAAGATCTGATTAGTTTCTTGGCTTCGGGCGATCTCTTCTATGATGCAGTGCTGCTGCCACAGCAACTGGAGCTTCCGGTACCGTTCATGACATAAATGCAGAGGATTGCCTCGTCTTCAAAGAAAAGAAAAGAGAAAGAGAACACACACGTCAGGTTTAAGAAATCTGATAAGCACTTTTAAAACTTCATTTACTTTGATGGTTATTTAAGAAGATGCATGTAAAAAAAACAGTACTGGCTATTATGAGTTCATAGTCACAGTTAACTAAAACTGAATTTTTAAATGACAGTGTGGTCAGTAATACATCTCACCAAAGACCTTTTGCTAGCAGCAAAAGCCTCAGTTGTATTACATCCAAACAACAAATGACTGGTACTGTTCTAGGAAATGAAGGCTTCTGTTTGGAATGGGTAAAAGCAGGCAGAAGGATTCTAAAATATAGTTTAAGAAATGTAAGATAAAGAGATTTACCAGGTCAAGGGGACATCAAACACAAAGTTCTAACTAGTGCTAAGTGTTCTCTAGAAAAATATAGACAACAACAATATGAAGTTTCTGAGAACATAAAAAGCAGAATATCCACTTACGACAGGTTTGGATCAGTTTCTCCATATTCATCTAGATATGGTGCAGGATAGAAAGAGCCTCTGGTTTTCCCCCCTATCAAGACAACTTTGCATTCCTTGATTCTGAAGGAGAAAACAGCTAGGTTAAAGAAACCAATAGCCTGCAATGATCTGCAAGTAGTCTCACTATACAAACCACTTGTAAGATTATGCAACTACACTGGTTTGGAACCAGAGATAAGCTTCCAGAAAGGGGCAAGCAGGAGGCGCTGACATACCCATCCACTTGTCACCTCTTTTCAATGACCCAAGACAGAAGGTGTGTCCATCTGGTTTTCAAGAATTGGCCCTACAAGTCCCCGTACCATGGCTCACCCTAGTCAGCAAAGTCTCCTTAACTTTAAGAGAGGTTATCCTTGGCACAGCAGTTTTTCTGCTTCCTTCCTTCCACAGGCCTCCCTCTGGATCCATTGCATTACAGAGCAAGCACTGCCCACAACTATTTTCAGCATCCTTTATATGTGGACTTGAGGGGAAGGAGGAGCAACCTGCTCCACCATTTCTACATCCTTTGTGTGAAGAAAAGGTATTGTGTCACTATTGGTAGACTAAGGCTAATGCGGACATGCCGCTGTGGTAAACTGGAAATTTTCTGGATAAGATATGTTTACCTATTATTTTATAGATGTAGTTTTATAAGAGGTAGCTGTGTTAGTCTGTGCTAGACTTTTCTTTTCTTTTGGCCTGATACATTATTTTATGGGTATCATACCCCCAGCTTAGTGAGAGCCATGAACATAGAAATAAACGTTGCATCACATCCTGTACTTACAAAACTACTGTTCTAAGGACAGATTACTTTACCAAGGTGATAACAGGATTACAAGGTCAGAGAGGGAGTTGGTGCCAACTGAGCACATAATGGTGTTCCTCCATACTGTTTTCCATTCTTGCCTGCCAAGGTCATTGTAGGAAGGCTATAGTATAAAAACCCTGTGGGGTTGCCTAGATGCTGGTAACCCTCTGCCACTCATCTGCCAGTGCCACACCTCAAAGGACCATGCCAAGTGGAGTGGGGCGACTCCCCAGGATGTGAGGCTGTCTGGATGTTTCCTTTCATTGTGCTGTATCATGCTGTATCAATGTCAGCCATCTATAGCCTTCTAAGGTACCAGTGGCTTCATCCAGATTCAAAGAATAGAGCCTCAATTAGGTTCTAGCTGGTCCAAAACTCCAATTTAGCACAGGCAATGAGAGAACATCTACCCTTAATGACCAGCTCAGTAGCTAACCCTAAGCTGCAGAATGACAATTCAAAAGGAATCAGAGTAAAGCCTCAGTCCAGTCACAATTAAGCATTTTATTGTTTCTATTATGTTAATTTGATTCTTAATATAACAAAATTCCCCAAGTATCATTGGTCCTATTAATTAAAAAGGATCATAAGACAAAGCAAAATGAATGTTTATCCTTTTGGATCCATGCTCCATTAGTAAACGAGAAGAAAAGTCTGCATGACATTTGGCATATCACATTCCCATTCTTCCCATTAATTTTTTTCCTTTAGTAAGAGCCTCGTGGCGCAGTGGTTAAAACGCTGTATTGCAGCTAAAACTGTGCTCACGACCTGGGGTTCAAATCCCAGGTAGCCGGCTCAAGGTTGACTCAGCCTTCCATCCTTCCGAGGTCGGTAAAATGAGTACCCAGCTTGCTGTGGGGGGGGGGGCAATGGGTAGCCTGTATAATTTAAATTGTAAACCACCTGGAGAGTGCTTGTAGCGCTATGGGGCGGTATATAAGTCCAATAAATAAATAAATAAATCAGCTTCATAGAATAGCTTGCCACCTACTTGAGAAAGATGCATACTCCAGCACCACAATGGATGGCATGTGACGTACAGGCTCCCAGCTCCTCCCCATTCACAAGCTCTTGACAACAGGGGTTTTCAGAACAAAGGATAGCCCCACAGAACAGACACAAGGCAGGGTGCTTGGGTTCATCATCAGAGGACCGAGGGCATCTGAAATGGCAATGTTGACAGTTAATTACTCCAATTAGTTATACAAAATTCAATTTTATAAATAATAAAAGAGGTGAAAAAAGGTAAAAATCTTCTTCCCTGAGAAAACTTCCAGTTCTCACCTGAACTGAGAGGCTTGATTCAAAAGGCAGCTGTAGTCATCTGGAAGTTTTATCAATTTATTTCTTTTCCTTGGGTAGCTGGATAATTCAGGAGAAAAATGTAACTACATTCTAAATATAATTTACACAACAAAGCAACAACTACAGACGTATTTTTCTGCTGAGCAACTTGCAGTTTGATTTGTACACAGAGATGATTCAAAGACAAGTTAACTGTGTCCAGAGTAGGAGCTTTCCAGTGATAGATATTAGAAACGTATTTACAGGGAAGGAATTAGTCACCAACTGAAAAATTAGTAAAACTTAGCAACTTTTAATTTATAGCTAATGGGCAGAATCCTGTTGGCATTTACAGGGGAATTGTGTAACTTCCTAAGGGCAAAAACAGATTACTTACCTGTGACTGTGGTTTTTCCAGTGTCTTGCAGGTGTTTTGGCATACGTGGAATAACAATCAGAATCAACAGGTAACTTGGATGGGTATAACTTTGGAGACCCGTAGATGTTATGATTGAGAGTTTAGTACCTTTGCGCCAAGGCTCCCCTTTCAGTTGTGTCAACTGCTATATTAAGCAGAATGGCATGACAGTGGGGAGGACAGGTGGGATGTGTGGATCACAGAGGTCCACTTGAAGAACTATAATTACAGGTGGGTAACCTGTCGTTCTTCTTCGTGGCCTCTATGAATCACACCCTGGGTGACTAAAAAGCTGTCTTACCTGGAAGCAAGGGTGAAAGTGGGCGACTGTGCCCAGGTGGCAGAGACACAAACATCTGGAAGAGGTATGCCGTGTAGGAATGCCGTAGAGGCCGCCACTGCTCTGGTGGAATAAAGGCAAATCGTCTTTGGGACTGGTTTCCATGCCAGCTGGTATGCAACCCAGCGTTGAGGCAACCCATCTAGATATGATTTGAGACGTCACCTGATGACCTTTAGTAGGTGGTTGGTGACTTATGAAAAGGTGAGGTGAAAGCCTAGAAGGTTTGGTGTGCTGGACGTAAAAGGCAAGGGCTCGTCTAACATCCAGAGTATGGAGGAGCTTTTATTAAATTGAGGACGGTGACGGGAAGAAGGAAGGAAGGATAAATGGCTGAGAGAGATGGAATTGAGATACAACTTTGGGGAAGAAAGAAATATCCATGGATAGTTTCACCTTGTCCGGAAAAAAACTGTAAATAAGGATAGTCATAACGTAATGCTGCTAAATCCTAGCTTGTTGAGCTGAAGTGATGGTGACAAGAAAAACTGTTTTAAAGGTAAGTAGTCGTAAATCAGTTGAAGCTAAAGGTTCGAAAGGAGCTTTAGTAAGTTGTCGTAGTACCAGCATTAATGACCATTGCAGGGAAGGCGGATGCGTATCTGGGTACATATGAGATAGGCCTTTAAGAAAACGCTTCAATGTTGGATGGTTGAAGAAATCAGCTGCTGGAGAGTTAGGAGGCTGATAAGAAACTATGACGGAAAGGTAAACTCTCAAGGAAGAGAAGGAAAGGCCGCTAGATTGAGATCAAGTAAAAAAACATAGAACAGTAGCAAGTGATGGGTTGACAGAAGGCAATGAGGAAGCTTCGGTGAAAGATTTGAATTTGTTCCATTTATACAGGTAAGCCTTCCTAGTGGAAGGTTTTTTTGCTTGGCGGAGGACATCCATTAGCAAGGCAGAATCCTCCACGCTGCCAGGTGCAGAACAGGTAACTCTGGGTGGAGTACTTGGGCATTGTTCTGCGTGAGACAGGCAAGGGAAGTGTCTGGTGAGAGATCGTGAAGGACTGGAAACCAGGGTTGTCTTGGCCACCAAGGGGCTATAACAATGGCATCAGCTTTGTCTTGCTGTGTAGAATGACAACCTTGTGGGAACGGCGGAAAAAGGTAAGTGAGGGGCTTGGGCCATTGGCCGACGAATGCATCTCCTTGGGAGTGCTTGCCAATGCCAGCTCGGGAGCAGTACTGTTTGCACTTCCGATTCATATGGGAGGCGAAGAGATTGAGAGCTGGTTTGCCCAGTCGCTCGCTAAGACGAAGAAGAACTGATTGGTCTAACGCCCACTCATGAGCATGAGAATTTGTGCGGCTGAGTTGATCCACCAGGTTGTTGTCATGGCTGGCAATGTGTAAAGCCGTGAGGCAGATATGATGTCCCAGAGGTTGACCGCTAAATAGAGGAGACTTGGAGATGGGCACTGCCTTGTTTCAGAATGTAGCATACTGCCATGATGCTGTTGGTGGCAATTTGTACCATCTTGCCAACGAGGAGATTGCTGAAAGCTTTGCAAGCTTTTATAACCGCCAATAGCTCCAATTTGTTTATGTGGAGCAATTTTTCTCTGGAAGACCACTTGGCATGGATTTTGAGGGATTTGCAGTGAGCTCATCAACCTTTGAGGCTGGCGTTGGTGGTAACCTGTATTTGTGGTCATGGTTGTTGGAACACTCACCCAGATAAATTGGGAGGAAAACACCACCATTGAAATTGGGAGGCGAGTTCTGGAGTGACCCTTAAAAGAGTGTGAGGAGGGTCTGTCAGCAGGTTGAAGAGGCTGAGAAACCAAGATTGAAGAGATCTCATTTTGAGACGTACATGCTCCACTACTGAAGTCATAGAGGCCATGGTACCTAATACACCTTGTACAGTTAAAGCAGGTACCATATCAAGAGGAGTGAAAACTCGAAGTAAGGTGATAAAACTTTCTTTTTTGTCTGGAGGGAGAAAGGTGCAAGCTTGTGTGGAGTCTATGCATGCGCCTATATAGTGAATAATCCTTGTAGGTTTTAAAGTTAATTTTTGTTCGTTGACAATAAGACCGAGATCACGAAGGAGAGTAAGAGTGAAATCAGTGTCTTTTTGGGCCTTGCGACGGGAGTGAGATACGAGGAGCCAATCCGAGATACAAGGTAAAAAAGAAAAATATCTGAGAGAATAAATTTGATCTACTCTTTCTCTTTTAGCCACAGAAGCAGAACTATGAAGTTCTCAATGTGGCGGTTGAAAGAAACTGAAAGGGGAGCCTTGGTGCCAAGCTACTTATACAAGGGGGGAGGAGCCTATTCTAATGTGTTTTTTGCTACAGCAGAAGCTCTAGAACTTTCCGATAAGGCTCCGTACAGGCATGGATCACCCAGGGTGTGATTCACAGAGGCCACGAAGAAGAACCAACTGCCTATAGGGACTTTTCCCAAAGATGAAGCATAAGTCTAGATTGACATTTTTTTTAATGACAACCGTGGTAAAATTATGGCAGTGAAAGCAGGCATAAGTTTGGTGTCTCTCATTGACGTAGTAAAGACAACTGGAATGGCCATCAGTGAGGAGAATTTTATTTGAGCACCCACACACTTCCTGAAAGGCCCTTTGGGACCATAAAATGGTAGGAAGGCCTTGAAGGGAGAAAAAGATGCAAGCAAAACGCATGGAAAATAACTAAAAATAGTTTTTCTGTTTTTCTTTTTTTGGACTCATGGAAGAGGAATTCAAGTAAATACTGGTGGAAAAGAGGGAAAAGTTAAGTAGAAATTGAGAGCTGAAGCTCTATCCAAAAGGTTCACTGAAGTTCACTCAGAGGTACAACTGCTAGGCTCAAGGATAATGTGTGGGAGGCTATCCTAATGGTCTTTTTTGCCTTACACAGAAGCTCTGGAAGGTTCCAATAAAGTTTTGTGCAGGTGCAGAAACACCCACATGTGTGAATATCACAGAAACCACAAAGAATAACTACACTTAACTGACAAGGTGCTGAGCCCCCATCAGTTGCATGCCTGGTCATGTGCCCACTCAAGCAACTGGCCCATGCCCCGTCACCTCAGCAGTTGGCTATAGCAAGTTACACAGTCTTTCCACAAACACCAATAGGATTCATCTCATTCTAGACATACTTGCAACTAGCTCCATGTACCACAGGCCCAACAGAAACAATGGAACAGATCTAGGAACAGATCTCTCAATAGTTTTACATTTACTTTCAGATACCTGGGGAGATTCTCAAACATGACCAGAATTCTGGCCACTGAAAAAAGGTACGTTTAAGATTCTATGCATGAACAAATATGTCAGGAAAGGTGTTCCAGAATCAGAAAAGTAAAACTAACCTTACTGCACTACTTTTCCCATTCAGAAAGTTCAGCACAGCAGGATCTGCACACCATCTATGGACAAAATCCTCAGTCAGAACAACAACATGCATTGTTAATTAACCCCATATCCCAAAATTAGATTGGTATTTTCCCTTCTTAGTTATAATAACTTCTTGTTGTAACAACTGAGTAGTTACTGTTCAGACGTACATGTGGCAAAACTGCAGCAGACACAGAGCAAGAATCTCCACAGATGGGTAGTCCCATCCCCACACTGTAGGCAAGTTCTTATTTAAAAGAAAACAATTCAGTTGCTCAGGGGCCTCAGGCATTTTTCCTTTGAGGTGAATTCCCTTATACCAACTCTCTAAAGCCCTTTACTCTTAAGCACAACAGAAGTCTCTAGAATCCCATGCTGTACGAATATACTTTTAAATAGTCATGCCACTTCCCCAACCATAAACAGTACCTATGGAGCAAGGGCTCTACAGTAGCCCAGTATTCTTGGAAAAGCAAGAAGAGATTGGTGGGTAGAGACAAATAGTCACAAAGTGCCTTGAATTGACCATCGTCTGAAACTGCAAAGAAAGAAAATATTTGGTATATTACTAGTTATAGGTCTTACATCTCCTAGCAATAGGAACTAAAAAGATACCACACAGCTATTCAACCTTTTCTGTCAATAGACTTTTTGGGCTAAGTAAAAAGATGAAAAGTAGCAGTGGAGGATTACAAATACAATACAACATCACTGCAAATTCTCTGCCTGATTGTATGGCTTAAAACCTTGCCTGAAAGCACTTTGCCATTAATTTGTTTTCTATTAAAAACTGCATTCTATGCAGATTTGAAAAGTAACAGGATACCAACTAAGCAGGTGTGAAATATGGGGCAAGGATACTGGGAATAACATAGTCAGGATGGGAGTCCACTGTACTACTTTGGGAAGAAAGTCATGAAAATGTACATGAAATTTAGTCTGAAATGGTCAGTCAGTTCATTTTCTTCACAATTCAAAGTACTTGTAATTCTAAAACACCCCAGCTAAAAGCCTCCTTCTCGTGTCAAAGAAGATAACAGGAGAAAGATGTATTTCAGGTAGAAAGATGTGTGAACCATTAATTAAGATTTACCCATGCCAATCAACTTTGTAGTGTGTAATATTCTGAATTTACGTCTGTTCTGAAACAACAGGTTTAGATGGAAGTGGTGGACCTGGATTATAAAAAGGGCAAGGATCATTAAGAGTTGTGGCTAATGTAACCATTCAACAAGGATTCCGATTTTGTAATTTGAACATTTCTTCTCCCCTTTTTATCGTGCTCACATCATACAAAAGACACAGAAGTCAAACCAGAGATAACACTACAGTTTATTTGTTACTGTAATGAAAAATATGGATCTGAATATATTCATTAGTTCCAACTAAAGTAGACCCATTTATTTCATAGAATTTTTGCACTACAAGTCAGCAATGGGCCTAACTAAGAATAGCAATTATATTAGTGCCATTGATACTAAAAAACACGACTGGAAGATGCATCTACATTTTAAGAGTAGAGGGAAAAGAATTTGGAACAAAAAAGCTACTAGCAGAAAATTAGGAATTTTATGAAGAGTATGACATTAAAGAAACTTGTGGCAAGCATTTTCTAAGCAACCTTTGATTTGATTCTGCTTTGGCATGTTGATCCTGCTTTAATGAATGCTTATGTTACCAAACACTGCTACTTACCCAATGAGAGTTCTTCAGGTGGAGGCACTCCTAGCAAATAATGGAAAAACAGAGCAGCGCAGCGGAGGTAAGGTGTAATGCCTTTCTTAATGCAATCCCACAGATACCAGCCTGGAACTCCTTGGCTATAACAACTGCAACACAGATTAAATACATGGATGTCATGCCTTTGAACTCACAACAAGTTTTATAAGCATGATGCAAATCCTTGGCTAATTAAAAGTAAATGGTAAGAGGGTGGCAGAAAGCTTGTTTACCTAAAACAGGGAGGACAGTTTTTGCAACTTCCAACACTGCAGATGCTCTCCACCAAAAATGCAACCCAGCAAAAAATGGCATATCACTGCTGGTGCAAGTCACCTTTTAAATATGTTGCAGGGGCACATGTACCCTGCACGAGTAAAAACACACATTTTTTTTCAAAACCAGAAGAGGATGTTTCCCATTTTTGGTGGTCTGTGCAGCCCCTCAGATGATCCTAGGGCAGAAAATTCTTGGTCTCTCAAGGTTGCCCACCTCTGTTCTGAAAATAAATGCTTCTTCTTTAGCAGCATTGAAATATACATTTGGGAATTTTTCTGGGAAGCTGAATAAATTAATGCAATAAATAGGAGAGACAGCTTGGGAACACAATATGATAAGAAGAGCCCTATGATTGTTCCCTCTGGACAGAAAAAAATTGCTTCATGCCCTCCTAATGCTCAAATGGGGATAGGGGAGGTGCAGGGCCTATACTGAAATCTGCATCCTCCCACATTTGTCTAACCCAAGTTTATCTAAATAATGGCTTCAGAAAAGAGTAGTTAAAGAGCTTTGCACAAAAAAGTACACAGAAATTGTCCCTGGGTGTTCTTCCATAATTAAAGCACTGTTCCCCCTCCCATTTTATGCTGTCAACAAAACTGCACACAAATTTGTGGCAATAATAATCTATTCATTCAACTGTGCAATTTATTTATTGGCATAGCAGTGGCAGTTGTTAAGAAATAAGCCTTGCTAGCAGATTACGTCTGCAATCCTATACATATTCACCTAAGAGCAGTTTTTGGATAATAGCAGCCTAGAACTTACATATTCACCTAAGAGCAGTTTTTGGATAGTAGCAGCCTAGGACTTTGGAGAACAGGGCTCAAATCCCCACGCAGCCATGGAAGCTCACTGGGGGAGTGGAAATGGCAAAACTACTCCTTGAATACCTCACTTACCTTGAAAGCCCTGTTAGGGTTGCTATAAGTTGGTTCCTACCTGACAGCACAGAACACACAAATGCATTCCTTGAATACCTCACTTACCTTGAAAGCCTTCTTAGGGTTGCTATAAGTTGGTTCCTACCTCACAGCACAGAACACACAAACGCACAATCCCACTGAACTCAGTTGGGTATGCTTCTCAGTAGACCCATATAGGACTGCACTGTGAACCATTGTTGTTGTTATTTAGTTGTGTCCAACTCTTCATGACCGTATGGACCAGAGCACGCCAGGCCCTCCTGTCTTCCACTGCCTCCTGGAGCTGGGTCAAATTCATGTTGGTACCTTCAATGACTCTGTCCAACCATCTCATCCTCTGTAATCCCCTTCTCCTCTTGCTTCACACTTTCCCAACATCAGGGGCTTTTCCAGGGAGTCTTCTCTTCTCATGAAATGCCCAAAGTATTGGAGCCTCAACTTCAGGATCTGTTCTTCCAGCGACCACTCGGGGTTGATTTCCTGCAAAATGGGTAGGTTTGTTCTCCTTGCAGTGCAGGGAATTCTCAAGAGTCTCCTCCAGCACCACAACTCAAAAGCAACAATTCTTTGACAGTCAGCCTTCTTTACGGTCCAGCTCTCACTTCTATACATTGCTACTGGAAAAACCACAGCTTTGACTATGCGGACCTTTGTTGGCAAGATGATGTCTCTGCTTTTTAAGATGCTGTCTAGGTTTGTCATCACTTTCCTTCTCAGAAGCAGGCATCTTTTAATTTTATGGCTGCTGTCATCATCTTCAGTGATCATGGAGCCCAGGAAAGTAAAATCTGTCACTGCTTCCATATCTTCCCCTTCTATTT